CCACCACCAACCTCTCTCTTTGATCAAGTCCAGTCCGGCACTTGCTCGCATTATCACAAGCACTTCTGTTCGGCATACGCACGATCGGTCCTTTCATCTTCAGCTTTCGAGCATATACGCTCACTCCTGGCGCATACACGCTGCGCCCACACTTCGGCAACATCATCGTCCACGGCATCCTCGCCAATCGACCGCCCCTAGACGCCGACGGTGCCCGCACCACGTCTGTGATTGACCTGGACCTCAGCGCTGTTGAATTTGTATAGCATATTGTTTCCACCCCATCTTCTTGTCCAATATGTCTTTCTTCACTCCGATGTTCGACACCCCCGGTGCTGGACCTTCCTACAGTCAAGGCCAGCTTGGTGCAGCATTCGCCCCATCTGGACCTCGCTCTATCGCCACGCCGTCTGGCGGAAGTCGCAAACGCAAGGACATGGACAGTGAGAGTGATGAAGACTCTTTCGTGGCGGGCAATGCTGGTCCGCGTAAGGTGAGCAAGAGCAGATCCCTGTAGAGAAGCCCACAAACAACAACAACCCTTCCCTTTCGCCCTCCCTCTTCTCACTAAATCTGACCACCTATCGCGTCGGGATCGCTTTCATCGCTTTGGCTGACCTCATTACATTTCGCCTATAGATCGCATATGCTCGTCGTGCCGGACCCGGCGCAAATCTTTCTCTCGACGTTTCTCCCGCTGTATTCTATGACCCGTCCCACCTGGCTGCGGCCCAGGAGCAAGTCCGCATGATCTTTGAGCAACACCGCTCCCGTCTGCCCCCAACGCCGGAAACCTCGCCGTCTCAAGGCTACTTTGGGCTCGCAAATGCGCCTCACAACCAGCAACCGTGCCACGACTCGTCTGTTGGTAGCTTCACTGGGTATCCCAACGTGAACCCCTACCCGAACTTCTCTCCGGGGGTGATGGGCCCGGTAATGGGCAGTGACACTGGCATGGCTGTCGATGGTGCTGCCAATTCCCATGGGTGAGTCAAAAAGTCGAGCTCTACGACTTGAAGAACTCGCATCAGCTGACCTCAGTCCTCGCTCGTCGCAGTGCGCATTGCCGCGCGATCCCTCAACTGTTCGTCAAGCGCCTCGTCGATGCTCAAGCTGGTTGCTTCGAGCTTTGGGCACGATGCTCTGACTGTGGAGGGGAAAGCAAGGTTGAGACTGGTGCTGACAACGACGCACTTTCGTACTCGCCTTGAGGTGTCCTCCGCCACGAGGAGACCAATGTACTGCGCAGCCTGCCAGATCCTAGCCCTGCTTCCGATTCACCCGCGACGTACTCCTGACTCGAACTTCCAAAGCTTAATGCTTCCTGTACTCTACGTCTCGTCTTCTCTCGACTCGACTCGCCCCCCATAAAATCTGTATCACGTTCTCCTCACTCAAATCCGCACCATCAACAACCCACCATCTCTGGCTGGACCAGCCACACTCGAACCAGAAAGACCGCGTTCTTCAGCATCCTCGTCCCCACTTCATCCATGTTCTGTAAAGACTCGATGAGAAATGGCACGCCATTGCGCGCTTGACTTATGCGTTTGTCAGTAAGCTGATTGCCGCTGTCGAGATTGAAGAGGCAAGATATCCGACGACCTTTGCGGCTCGATATAAGCATGCGTGCGAAGCTGCACTGCCACAACGAAAGGGCGAATGAGCCCCCCCGGGGGAAATCTTCTTTTGATTGGTGGTTTGTTGGGTACGCGAATGCACGTTGAGGTGTACATGCGATTCGAGAAACGCGGCAGACGGTGGAGCATTCGTGGTGCGGGCGAGGAAGAAATGAGAGTCGGTGAAAAGTTGGGTGATGAATGCGAGTCTGTGGAGGATGTGAATGGGAAATGGGAGAAAGAAATGTGTCGTGACAGCACAGAGCAGACAAAGCGCGGGCAGACTCGTGTCACGGCGGAAGCTGGATGGGGACTGGCTACGGGAGAGAAACGTATCAGACACGAGAATCCTGAAGCTCTCTTCTCTTGCCAGCATATTTTGCCGCGAGGGTACGATAGCTGTAGGCGTTCGCTGGTGCGTGAAGCGCTTGCTGTCAACAGGCGCAAAACAGGCACACTAACGACGATACGAAGCGCATACAAACAGAATGGATGCTATTCTGATTCCTCCCCCACCTCCTCTACAGCACAGTCACGAGTCTAGAACGGCCAGGGCCTGAGTGGATGAGGCAAGCAAGCAAGCAAGCAGCGCAGCAGTGAAAAGGGAAAGAAAGAACGTGGCTTGGATCAAGCAAGCATTCGTGATTGCCTCCACCCCAGCTGCTGCGCCTACTGTAGCTGCCGCGTGGAGTCAAGTCTGGATGCATCAGCAGCATCGGCACGCCATAGCAGCGGCAGATTGCACGTCAGTCAGCACAGTCACAGTGTGAGTAGAGTAAGTCTGTGTGACTGAAAGCGTACAGATGGATGGAGATCGAGCATGCGCGCCGCGGGCACCTTGTCGCGGTCCATCAGTCGTGAGTCGTGAGTCGTGAGTCTGAGTTGAGTCTGAGTGCTTGTTTACTCATTGGGCGCTCTGGCCAGGACCCGCAAAGCCACGTCTGCCTTGCGACGCCCGCGCGCACGCTTCGGAGGACCCCTCGCTGTGCTTGATGCGCTGCCTGCCCTCCACTTCTACAATCGATTGGCACACCCCTTGTGCTCTGTCTTTCGTAACTTCACCTTCGCACTCGTGACTGTGAACGACCATTCACATTGCGTTCGAGTACGTCTTTGACACTTCGTCAAAACACGCAAGACATGCTCACCAGCGCATCTGTAGCATTGCGTTCACGTTCAACCCGACTTGCGCTTCACCCACTCCTCACCTCGAGCGGTACAATCCGCAAATTTTCTTCCAAACTGTCATCTCTTCCTCGCAACTCTTCCATCGTGTCGCCATTGGACACGACTAGCAACACCGCCTCCCGCAGACTCTCTCCGCTTATATCTCACCTCTCGCATCTCGCTTCCATCACCACATCGTCGAGGGTCAACATGCCTCCTCTTCCTAAGCCATCTTTGGAGGAGTACGATGCCATCGTCATTGGTGGTGGATCGGGTGCTATGGGAATGAGCAGACGTGCTGCTCAGTATGGTGCCAAAGTAGTTGTGATTGAGGAGGATGGTCGACTGGGTGGTACATGCGTCAATGTCGGTGAGCATCGAACGTTGCCGTTACTCGGTCGCACACCTACTCAAAAGCTGACTTGTGCTCCTCTAACTCACATTCTCGCGGCCCCTTGCTCTCCCTGATGCTTTCGCTGGCTTTAGGTTGCGTTCCGAAGAAACTCATGTGGCACGCAGCTGACCTCGCAGATGCATTGCGCGAGACTCCAGAGTACGGCTTTGGGGATGCCGAGGGCAAGCCAATCAACGCAGAGCCCAAGTTCCAGTGGCGTTACTTTGCCGAGAAGCGAGATGCATACGTTCGACGTCTCAACGGCATCTACGACCGAAACCTAGAAAAGGACAAGGTGGAGTATTTGTCTGGACATGCCAAGATCCTCGGTCCCAACGAGGTGGAAGTGAGCCTCAGGGGAGATGACGGAAAGTTTGATGCTGGGACGCACACTATCAAGGGAAAGAAGATCGTGATCGCTACGGGAGGAAGACCTACCAAGCCTTCGGAGGAGCAGGTGCCTGGCGCGCATTTGGGCATCGATTCGGACGGATTCTTTGCCCTCAGAGAACAGCCCAAGCGTGTCGCCGTGGTTGGTGCGGGGTACATTGCCGTAGAACTGGCAGGCGTGTTCAACACCCTTGGAACAGAGACCCACTTGCTCATCCGACACGACACATTCTTGAGGAACTTTGACCCCATCATCGCCGAAACGCTTCAAGACTACATGAGCAAGACGGGATTGAATGTTCATCAAAAGACTAACATCAAAAAGGTGGAAGGAAAAGAAGGAGGTCCTTTGACGTTGCATCTGGA